AGGGAGCCCGACGCGGGGCTCGATCCCAGGACCCCGGGATCATGACCCGAGCTGAGGGCAGACACTCAACCGACTGAGCCACCCAGGCGCCCCAATAGGGGGAGTTCTGATCATAGCTTGAGAGGGCGGATTTGAAGGGATAGCAGATGTGGTAGGAGGGGAAAGCTCCAGGGTGCGTCCAGTGCTGGGGAAGAAGGGGGCTACTGGCAGACTACTACAGGGGCAGGACGGGATGGGTGGGGCCTTCACAGAGTGGGAAGCGGATGGAGCACATACACACGGCCAGACACTTGCTCAGATAGCGTTAGTATCGCCGAGACCACGGAAAACACAAGTCTCCTGTGAAAATGAACTGCCTCCTTGAGCACCCATGGCCCACTAGGAGGGGTCTACCCATAGGCATCTGCCATTGTGGGAGGAGGCCGCGGCCTGTGCAGGCCCCAGAAAAAGCCCTTGATTCCCCAAAAGATGGTGCCCACTTGAGAGGAATTGGAGTTGGCGATGGGCATGGGTTGGTGGGACTTCCTAGGTGTGGTTCCAGATGGTAAACAGGATTATGTGGATGAACATCTGTTAATTTAGAAGTTATCTATTTTAAGGTGACCTGAAACAATGTTTATTTGTTTATTGTATGATGTGAAGCTTGCTTTAAAATTAATGTACGGGCTTTAAAATTAATAGGGCTCTGTGCTCAGCACAGAGTCTGCTTAAGACTTTCCCTGGGGCGCCGGGGTGGCTCAGTCGTTAAGCATCTGCCTTCAGCTCAGGTCATGGTCCCAGGGTCCTGGGATCGAGCCCCGCATCGGGCTCCCTGCTCCGCGGGAAGCCTGCTTCTCCCTCTCCCACTCCCCCTGCCTGTGTTCCCTCTCTCTCTGTGTCTCTCTCTGTCAAATAAATGAATAAAGTCTTAAAAAAAAAAAAAAAGACTCTCTTTCCCTCTCCTTCTGCCCCTCCCTGACCTCACATGGGCGCGTCCTCTCTAAAAAAAAAGTCAAAAACAAAGCTGATGCCGCAAGGAGGAGTGTTTGGGTCCACTGATCTAGGGCACAGTGTGTGTCCAGCCCACTGTCCTCACAAGGAGACCTGGCCCCTCCTGCCATGGGAGGGGCAGAAGGAGAGGGAGAGAAGCAGATTCCCCACTGAGCAGGGAGCCCGATGTGGGGCTTGACTACCTGATCCCGAGATCATGACCCGAGCCGAATCAAGTCAGGTGCCCAACTGTCTGAGCCACCAGGTGCCCCTTGGGTATGACCATTCTTGTACATGTACTTGTTTCGAGTAACTGTTTTCAATTCTTTGGTGTATGTATCTGGAGTGGTGACTAAAGCTTTAGCAAGATCCCTTTAACTGTGTGGGGCAAACAGAGCATGGAGGGGAGGACGTGGTGGGGGGAAGCCAGTTCAGTTGAGAGGCTAGAGCTATGACGAGAAGAACAAAGATGGTAGCAGTGGAAGAGTGAGGGGTGGCCAGATGGTGAACCCCAGATGAAGATCACGGGGGCCCCCTTGGTTTCCGCTCTGCGCACCTAGAGGGATGGAGTTACCACTGAGTGATATGGGAAGTGGCTGGAGGGGTAGGTGGCATTGAGCCCATGAAGTCTAAGCTGTCCGGAGACTTCTGGGTGGGACCCAAGGGGCAGTTAGCCATGGGAATCAGGAGCTGAGGGTGACGTGACTGTGGTGTAAGGGCTGGCCAAAGTGGAGGGGAGGCAAGGGCATGTCCTTAAGGCAGGGAGAGCCAAACAGGTATGAGGGATGAACAGCAGTCTTGTGGGTGGAGATGGAACTTCTTGGGAATGTGTGCCCACTCTTCTAGTGACTCTGGGTTTGGGCCTGGGTCCCCCTTAACCCTGGGCACTAATGGGATCCTGCCTGTTCTGCCCCCTCCCCTGAATCTGTTCAAAGCAAGGATGGAGAGATGATCTAGGCCTGGCTGGACAGGCGTGTCCCTGTCTTAAGGACCTATGACCTTTGAGGACATGGTCATGGCCTTAACCAGGAAGAAGTGGGGGCAGTTGGAGCTTGCCCAGAGGACCCTGTACTGGGAAGTGAAGCTGGAGAGGCTTTAGAACCCCACACTGCTGGGCGAGGCCAAGCTCTGTCCCTCCCTTCCATTTGTGCCTAAAATTCAACACTATTACGTGTAGCAATCACTTGCTCTTGGTCATTGCTGTGTGCAGAGTATTTCACTGCATGCACAGCCAGTGTAATTATCCACACCGCTGTTGGTGGGTGTATCAGTAAGTGCCCAGTCAGGAAGCAGACGCCGTACAGTATTTTGAACAGGGTAAATTTGATATAAGAAGTTATTAACTATAGGGGTGCCTGGGTGGCTCAGACGGTTGAGCATCTGACTCTTGATTTTAGCTCAGGTCATGGTCTCAGGGTTGTGAGATGGAGCCCCACATCTGACTCCGTGCTCAGCAGATAGATTTAGAAATAAATCATTTTTTAAAAAATTTTTTTTTGACAGAGACAGCAATGCATCCCCTAGAAAAAAATCTTCTTAAAAAAGTTATTGACTATAGGGACGCCTGGGTGGCTCAGTTGGTTAAGCGGCTGCCTTTGGCTCAGGTCACGATCCCAGGGTCCTGGAATCGAGTCCCACATCGGGCTCCCTGCTCAGCGGGGAGCCTCCTTCTCCCTCTGCCTGCCGCTCCCCCTGCTTGTGCTCTCTCCCTCTCTGACGAATAAAATCTTAAAAATAAATAAATAAAATTTATTAACTATAATAGGGCAGTAACTCTTTTAAAATCCTAGGGCTGAGAGAGTGCCCAAAGTAAGAATAAACCTTCAAGTGGGAGCTCTCTCAAGGTTGGGGTTCAGACTTTGTTGGGGAACGGGTGTTTGCAGCATACTGGGTGGCCGAGAAATTCTCTGGGTTGCCCAAGCCCAGCAGGAAACACCTTGGTGTGGCGGTGGGCTGAGGCAATAGGGAGGTACACAGAGGGAGTTAAGGTGCGCCTGCAGGTCCGAGGCCTACAGCATGCAGTATCTGTTGCAAGAGACATTGGGAAGCTGCTTGCCAGCAGGGTACCTTGGGGTACATGGTATCCACATCTGAGGGTACCCTGGTGAGGTGGTTACTAGGTTGAGCCAGCCAAAAAGAATGCCTACTTTGGGCAGAGTCTTCCACATGCACTGCTGTGGTAGCCGGTAGAAGAGAAACAGGATGGCACCCTGTAGTTTCCCTCCAGTGCCCTCTCCTGACAAAGCTTAATATGTTGACTGCAAAGGAGAAGCGACTACAAGGTCCAGCCCATTAATGCAGACGGGTAATGACATGGAGCGGAGAGGCAATACATTGGTAACTGCAGTGGGCTTGGGCTGTTTTCTGATTTTTTCACTTTTATAGATAGTTGCTCTAAATGCTTCTGTACATGTCTTCTGGCGCTCAAAAGCATTCATTTCTTAAGATCTTATTTATTTGAACGAGAGAGAGACAGAGTGATGGAGGGAGCTGCAGGAAGAGCAGAGGGAGAGGGACAAGCTGACTGTGCTGAGCGCAGAGCCTGACCGTGGGGCTCAATCTCACAACCCTGAGATCATGACCTGAGCTGAAACAAGCATTCATTTTTGCTGGGTGCATGCCCAGGAGTGGAAATGCTGAGTAAGAGTATACATAGATTTAGCTGTGGCAGATACTGCCAAGGTTTTCCAAAGTCATTATTTGCTTCATTTATTTTTTTAAATTTTTTATTTATTTGCTAGAGAGAGACACAGCGAGAGAGGGAACACAAGCAGGGGGAGTGGGAGAGGGAGAAGCAGGCTTCCCGCTGAGCAGGGAGCCCGATGCGGGGCTCGATCCCAGGACCCTGGGACCATGACCTGAGCCGAAGGCAGACGCTTAACGACTGAGCCATCCAGGTGCCCCTCATTTCTTACTTCTAAAAATTTTATTGAAAAACACTATCACCATTTTATTCCACACTCCCAATTCATCACTGGATGCAGATCAGTTTTATATTTTTGGCCATGAGCAGTACTAAATCCATTAATAATACATGGTTGTATTGAGTTTTCTATGCTGTTTAACAAATTGCCACAAACTTAGTGGCTTAAAACATCAATTTATTAGCTCACCGTTCTGCAGGTCAGACATCTGGGAGACATTGGGTTGTCCGCACACAGTATCACAAAGCTGAAATCAAGACGTTGGCTGGGCTAGGCTCTTATCTGGAAGACCTGGGAATTAACTGCTTCCAAGCCCTTTCAAGTTGTTGGCAGATTGCAATACTTTGTGGTTGTAAGACTGAGGTCTCTGTTTCTTTGCTGGCTGTTAGCAAGGGGTTGTTCTTACCTTCCAGAGGCCACAGTGTGACTCCCTCTGTCTTCAAAGCCTGCAGTGGTGCATCAAATCTTTCTTATGCTTCAACTTTTTTTTTTTTTTAAGGATTTTATTTATTTTATTTGAGACAGAGAAAGAGAGAGGAAGAGAGAGAGAGCATGAGCAGGGAGACAGGCAGAGGAGGGAGCCTGATGGGGTGAGCAGGGAGCCCGATGTGGGGCTCGATCCCAGGACCCTGGGATTGTGACTTGAGCCGAAGGCAGACGCTTAACCAGCTGAGCCACCCAGGCGTCCCTAAAAAATATTTTCTGTTGGAGAACTGCTTGGTGTTGTGGGGGGAGGGGAAGACTTGGAATTGGCTCAAGGAACCCAGTGTTGTTTTAAGGCAAAAGGGAAACAAAAGTCCCATGCTCTGTAGATGCAACAATCCTACTTTGGGAGACTTACTCTAAGGGAAATAAGCAGAGTTGCATCCCAAGGGTATGCTTGGGAGTGTGCATCACTGGTGATGCACTGGGTACCATGGGGGTGAACAATGAACTATCTGGGCTTGGTAGGAAATGACACTGCTGGATGGAAAACGGAATTTTTACCCAGGCATTAAAATACATTTTTAATAACCGGGAAATGAGTGAGAAGAGCATGATATATACAGTAGCTCCACAAGATTTATAAAACGCCCCCACGTGTGACTCCTGGAAGAGTCCCTGACACGAGACAGTGGAACTCAGGGTCATTCCCCTTACCTGTGCTCTCTTGTATATTTCAAATTAGTCCAAGTGATCACAAACTACTTTTAAATCACATGGCCCCAGTGACATCCGTTTGTGTACCCTTCCTCAGTGGCCACCCTTTTTCATCCATACTTGCGAAGGAAGTCCCCTTAGGGTCCACTCAAGTTGAGACTCAAGAGCTCAAAGGCCAAGGAGTCCAAGGAATGACATGGTGGCCGAGGAACAAAGGAGGCCAGGAGGCCAGGACTGCTGGCCCTTCTTGTGGGTCCAGCTGCCAGGCAGGAGTGGCACTGCTGATGTTCTGACCAGCAGAAAGCAGAGATCAGAATTCCTATGCAGAAACTTCCCATTATAAAAGTGGAATTTTTAAAAATCTCAAATGTGGAGGGTCGTTAAGTTTTCCATCCGCCTGCAAACAGAAGCAAAGCATGCTCTTCTGAGCTTTCAGCACCTTCCACACCAAGACATCAGGCCCAGAAGCTTCAGGAAGGGTGGAAAGGGGCAGTTTCTGAGCATCCACCTGGGGCCACTAAGGTCCCAGGGGTAGCGAGAGTCCTTAGCCTGTCAGCCTGCATCAGGTCACAGCTGGGGATCTCAGAGCTTGGAAGTCACCAGGCTTAGGCCGCGGGTTCCAAGCCAGGCCCCACCAGGCAGCTTCTTTTACTTACACCCAGGTGGCTGTTTTGGGGAGACTGAAATGGGGCAGGGGACCCTCCTGGAAACTCTGATTCACAGAGGCTGAGCAGCCCTGGGACGGCTGGAACCAGAGCCCCGGGAACTGTGTCCAGGCCCTGGAGGCTCCAAGGCCCCCAAGATGAGGCCGCCTTCTCGAGCCACTCACGGGGCTTCAGGCCGGTGGCTCTTCCTGTGGATAACCAGCTGGGACTTCCAGTCGAAGCCACGGCCGCAGTCTCCACAGAAGTGGCGCCGCTGACCCGCATGGCTCTTGCGGTGGATGACCAGCTGCGACTTCCAGCTAAAGCTGCGCCCACACTCCTCACACGCATAGTTCCGGGGCCCTGGGAGCACGCGCCGGGGGTACCGGGGTGTGCCTGGCTCCTGGGAACCCTGTGGCAGCTTCTGAGCACCCCCGACGGCCAGTGCCGGGGCCCGTGTACCCTGCCCATCTGCATGCGTCCGGTGGTGGATGACAAAGACTGATTTCCAGTCAAATCCTCGGCCACACAGCTCACAGGTGTAAGGCTTCCTCCTCGGGGCACCAGGCTCCAGCTCTGTTCCCAGCATTGCCCTGGCAGACACAGGGGCCCCAGACGGGCCCTCCCAGGTGACAGACCCCGGGCCCCGGGGTGGCTGGGCCTCTGGGCAGTGGGGCGGACCCTCGCAGTGACTCTCCCTCTCCTCTCCTGGGGGAAGGAGAGGTGGCAGTCCCAGATAGCCCAGTGCCCTTGACATTGGCCCACCCTCTCCCGCCAGGTGTGTGGGGGCGAATAAGCCCCCACCCCACCAGAGAACAGGTGGTTCAGGTCGCATGGAGAAGCACTCACCCGGGTGGAGGTTTCTTCTACCCTCTGTCCCTGTACACATGGCCCCCGGCCCCGACTCAGCCCGTGCCTCCGGCGGGGGGGCTGGTATCCCTGCTGGGGTGAGGGACAGTCAGGTAGCGGTCCTGGCATGGGGGCAGGTGAGGGGCTCTTGCATACTAGGGGCAGGGTGGGGGCCCTGGTAGGTGACACGGTGCCCCCAGGTAACGAGCGCGAACTCGGGTAAGCACTGGGAGACGTGCACAGGGAAGGGCCGGGCAGTGAGCCCTACAGCCAGTGGTATGCAGACACCAAAGGAGGGGTCATGGCTGGTCCTCACCCAGGGAGACCACCGTGCCATACTTCTCCAGCATTGCGTCCCAGTACAGTTCCTTCTGTGACGGGTCCAGTAGCCCCCATTCCTCCTGTGGGGATGTGGCCCATCACCCTTGGTGCCTGTCCACCCCCCATCCTCTGCCCTGCCCTGCAGTGACCTACCCTGCCTGTGTCTCCCGGTCACAACCTTACTAATTACTTGAGGAAGCAGGCAGATTACCTAAGGCTCTTTTGCTTGATAAAGATGAAGATGAAAAGGGTGTGTGAAGGTTGGGAAACAGGACAGAGAGGAGCTGTCTTCCAGCTCACTGGGGGGATGCTGTTAGCACCTGTCCCCCTCAGAAGCCCCACTCCCATAGTCTAGCCAGACAGACTGGAGCTGAGAACCCCTTGATGGGTTCTGGGGGAAGCGTGGGGGGGGGGCGGGGCCCGGTATGACTGTCCCCACCTCCTTGCCTTGAACAGTGTGCTGCATTGAGAGCAAAAGGCCTGCGGACCCAAGGGGATCCAGCCACCTCTCCCCAAGCCTCTGGTTACAAAAGTAACAGAGATCCACCTTGCGGGAGCCGCTGAAGGCCATCAGCATTCCTAGATGTGGGGACCTGGCTGTGGGAAGGTTGAGGGCAGGAGAACTCACATTAGGAGGTGCAGCCAAGCATCTCAGGGTTCAGATGATGTGTGTGGGTGGGGCGGTGGGCTGGCTCCTGCCTGTTGCCAGAGGGTGAGCTCTGGTGGTCGAAGCAGGACCCTTGTGGACTTTACCAGGGGATGCACTCCCTGTCCCTGGCTTCTGCTCTCCTTGCCTCCCAAAATCCCATCATCTGGGGCTTTGCTGGGGTGGGAAAAATAATCCTGACAGACAAACCACTGGAGATCCAGGCACAGGGAGGAGACAGCCACGTGAAGCCACAGCTGGAATGCTGTTGGCTGGAGATCAGGTGGCTTTGGAGGCTGTGGCCTGCCCACCCAGCTGTTTCCCACTGTGCCATCAGACTGTGGAGAGAGCCCGGAAGAATTTTTTAGCCTCTAAGCACATCTCAACCAGCTCTTCCACCGGGAACGCTCCCCAGTGGAGTGGCTTAGGAGAAAAATTGCTGGGAGAGGGACAGGAGTCCCGCTGTCCACACTCAGGAACCAAGCACTCCAGGTAGCAGGGGCCTCAGTGGAGCCTCCATGCCTCGCTGGCCACAATCCAGGACTGGCTGGGCTTTGAGGAAAGCCCCAGGAAAGAGGAGGCTGCAGGTTGTGGCTTAGCTATCTCCATCCTGATCTCTGGTGGGCTAGGGAGGCCAGACGGTTGTGTGGTGCTCAGGCTTTCTTGCCAAGGTTCATCATCTTGACCCCTCCGCACATGCACGTGAGAGTTCAAATCCCCAAGCACCCGTTTAAGACTGCTGAGTGCTTCAAAATCCCCAATTTCTCTGTAAATGAGGAAGCCAACCCCTACCAGGCCCACTCACTCCAAACCAGATTGCATGGCCTGAGGCCCAAATTTCTCCCAATTTTAGAGAGACCACCAGCTTGTCCCTGTCCTACAGGATCTGCAGGAGGAGCCTGACACCAACTCCATTTCTGGGCAGCAAAAAGCACAAAAGCTGCTAGCCAAGAAGCCTGAAAAACTGACAGAGCAGAGTGGCCACCAAGGACACACTCCTCCTACTGGGTGCCTGTACCTCCCTCCTGGGGCTGCTTACCTGAATCCTGGGTGGGTGGAAGGACATGGAGGCTGGTTCCCGGTGTCCAGGGCGCCCCTCGTGGGACTGGGCTGGATCTGGGGGGTTGGAAGGTGCTAGGAAATGAGGCAGATGAGGGTCAGGTGCCGCTCCTGTGAGCCATGGCAGGTGAGCTGGTATTGGTGCCGCAGCCTTGGCCTTCCTCTGCCAGGAGGCAGGAGGCTACTGTGTGTGCCAGTCACACGGCAGGCAGCCCACCAGTCCTTTCCTCCTGCCTCCTGCGGACCCAGCTCTGCAGTCTGCAGTCCTTCCTGAGTCTGGGGACATTCACATTCCCTCCGGGAGCCCCCCAGACCTTGTGTGGCTCCCACTCTCACCCATCTCCTGCCCATCAGCATCTGGCTCCTCCTTCACACTGCAGCTAAGCTGGGCAGACTTCTCCACGGGGGTGTCCTGTGAGGCCTCCGCAGAGGTTGCCCTGAGGAGCTCCACTGTCCCTGAAGGGTGGGAGCTCCCCAAAGACTCCTCCGTCTTCTGTGCTGCCGGGAGCACCACTTGCTTCAGGACATGGGCTGTGATCTGAAGGGAAGAGGAAAGTCATAGGGGCTCCAGTTTGGCTCCTGACCCTCCAAGAAGTCAACGTTGGCCACACTCACCCAGCCCAGCAGCTGCCCAGGGTCATGCTGCAGGCCCTCGACCAGGGCTACGGCCTCCTCAGGGCTGCCGGGCCGCTGGGCCCGCACCCAGGCCTGAATCTCGGGAGGCAGCGTGCCCAGGAACTGCTCCAGCACCAGCAGCTCCAGCATCTGCTCCTTGGAGTGCGCCTCGGGCCGCAGCCACTGGCGGCACAGCTCCCGGAGCCGGGCCAGGGCCTCACGGGGACCTGCCACCTCCTGGTAGCAGAATCCCCGGAAGCGCAGGCGCGCTGCCTCAGGCTGGTCCAGGATAGCCACGGGGTCCACAGAGGGCAGGCGTGGGGGGGCCAGTGGGGATGGCATTGTTGTACCGGGTGTCTTCTTGCAGCCAACAAGAGGGACCTGCAGGAAAGGAGGCGTCAGGGTGCGGGCAGACAGGCCCAGCCCGGGGGGCTGAGGCTGGTTGAGGGAGGACCCTGGCCCAGGGATGCCTGAGGCTGGGAACGCTTCGTGGAGGTGTCACAGGAGCTGGCCGCTGACAGTAACTGTGGGCCGGAGGAAGCCTTGTGGACGGACGCTTGGGAGGCAAGTTGTCCAGTGGAGCTTCCGCGAGACTGCAGGGGGTGATGAAGAGGTAGGCAAAAGGAGTCATCGCGGGCTTCCAGGGTCTGACTCATGAGCCAGGGAAAGTGACAGGCGGAGGCCGAGGGACAGGCGGCCAGGGACTGGGTGAGGCCATCACCCCTGGTGAGCCGGGGCAGCGAAGGTGGGAAGAGGCAGCAGCGGGACACGGGGCCATGCTGGGCTACGGCGGGGTGCGCGTCCCCACGATCTCCAGGACGTCGGGACACGCTGACTCAAGTGGGCCCCCGCGGGGCCGGCTAGAAGCAGGACGCACGCCCGAGCCATGGGCCGAGGAAGGGGCTGTGTGGACTCCAAGACGCCGTGCTCGCCGAGCAGCGCGAGCTGCGACCGACGCACACCGCCCGAACCAAGCACGTGAAAAGCGAAACGAAACAGAACAAAGCCACGAGTTGCGGGCGCTGGGCCCCGACCGTCAGGAGGGTCTGGCAGGGAGCAAGGCCACCTGCGGGGCCCGTCAGACCAGCTAGACCCGGCCTGAGCCCCCGGAGTCCGTCTCCCAAGCGGGAGGGGACAGAGGCGGGCTCGCCAGGGGACAGGGAACGCCGGGCTGGGGCGGGGGGGGCCGGGCCGAGGCCAGGAGCTGGAGCGCGCGGGGCGCGTCGGGGGGGAGGCGGGACAGGGAACGCCGGGCTGGGGCGGGAGGGGCCGGGCTGGGGCGGGGGGGGGGGGCCGGGCTGGGGCCGGGGGGGGCCGGGCCGGGGCCGGGAGGGGGAGCGCGCGGGGCGCGTCGGGGGGGAGGCGGGCTCTCCGGAGAGCGGGGAGCCCCGGGCGGCCGGGTCCCCAGGGGAAGGAAAGAGCCGCGCCCCGCCCAGCCGAGCCCGCGCTCACCTCAGCCGCGGCGCGGCGCGGGCGCCCGGAAGCCCCTCCGGGGAGGGGGCCCCGCCGGCCCGCCCCTCCGCGCGTTGCCATGGCGACTGCGCCCTGGCCAATCACGCGCCCGCGCGGCAGGACCCGCCCCCTCCCTTCGGACTACGTTTCCCGTGAGACTCAGCACGCAAGGACGGGCGCGGCCTCCGCCAGCGGACGCTCATTTCCAAAGGCCTCTCACGACTGAGAAGAGCTCCGGTCCTCTGAAGAGTCGCAGAGTTCGGGGGCTCCCTCCCCTCACTGGCGACCGCTCTTCCTTTGCAGCCGAGCCCTAGACTCACCGACGGCCGTGACGGACGGTATGTTAGAATCCTGCGCATGCGCACAGTGGGCCCGGCGCCTATTGGCAGGTGAGGTGACGGGGGAGGAGCGCGACCTGACGGCCATTCAGGGCTAGCGCCCCACCCAGGCCCCTCCCCCGCGCTCCTCTGGAGGCTTCCTTCTCGTCGCTGAGCAGGCCTCTTGGTCACCGCTAGAGGACATCCGCCCGCCTCCCTCTGTTTCCAAGGCAACGGCCAGAGCGTCGCCCGGTCCTCCCGCGAGGCCGGAAGTGACGGCCTGCGCAGTGTGGGTCGGCGGAGACTCGCCTGCAGGTGGTCCCAGGAGGAAGCAGGGTCCGGACCCGCAAGTCCGGCCTAATGTGTGGACTTTCTCCGACAACCCCGGGAAGGATTCCGGCGAGGACGGTGCTGGGTCCTTCGTTCGACCTCCGCTGAGCGCCCTGCGGACATCGCGAACGAGGACCAGGGTGGGCACTCACGCACCCACCAGGAAACTGTCCCGTGATTTATACCCTCGGAGTCTGACAGGTTCTCAGATGTCAGTGCTGCAAAGTGAGGGATGAGGCTTTTGTCCACCTTGTGGGACGCTGCCGACCTTCTACGTGGGGTACCGGAACCAGTAACCGCGATCTTCCAAGCATCACACTGTGGGAAGGGGTGCTTCGCTTCCAGAGATCAAGCAGCGGAACCATGGCTCATTCAGTCCTAAATTGCACATGCCTGCTTTGATTTCTTGTGATACCTAGTAATGCCTAGCTGCCAGCACTCAATGAAGAGCAGTGGTCCTACACTGATTGAAAGCTCTGAGCATCTGCATGGCTGGGGCCTGTCAACTCCTCTGCATGTCATCAGACTGAGCTGTTTTGTGTGTGTGCGCGTGCGCGGGGGGAGGGCTTAGATCGTTTCTCTGGAGCTGTAAGGATTCCCCGGAAATGACTCTTCCACCATCCACTCTGTGGCAAGAGCTGGTGCTCTAATAGCTCTGGTAGCTCTCCCCAAGTCAGCTTTGTTTTAAGTCTCCTCTCCCAGGGGGCTGCTGGTTTGCATGCTTTCTGGAGTTCTGCAGTATAAGCCTGGTGGGACCTCTATCCACTTCCCCCAGTGCCAAATCAATATTTGGCTTTCTCTAAATCAGAGCTAGATCCCACATCTGCATCTGCTTCCAGTTCCAAAAATGCCATTGCTGTGGACCCGCTTCACCATCCTCATTCTTGTGGGTTCATATTTTTAAACACTTTCGTCTCTGTAGCTTCGGTGGGTTTCTGAACCAAGTGAGATGCGTATGTTCACACCACCGTCTTGCCCCAAAAAGCTCAAAGGGCACTTTTACACTCAGCCTGTTCAGGATCAAGAGAAGGACTAGCCTGACAGGACAAGGCTCAACATGACCACAGAAGTTTAGGGGAGGGCAATGTAAGGCCCAAGACATGGGGGAAAGCAGGTAATCATGGTTATTACCGTTCCCGTAAGACCGGAGTGTGGGCCACTGACCAATCCTAGGTACTGGGAGGTGGGTTTGAGAAGGGTAGAGGAAGTGAGGCATAGCAGGGCCCAAGCACACAGGTGAGAAAGAGCTCAATGAAATGGGGAGGAGACTGGTGGGGAGATGGCACAGGACATCAGACCCAGCTCAAGGGGTCATGAGAGCTCCAGGAGCCTCAGTCCAAAACGCAGAAAAGGTTGGGTATGACTTGAGTACCCACTTGCTGTTTGACAGTTGCCTTTGCCCCTGAATCCCATGGGCTCCCAAGAACTATCAGAGTGGGGGTTTATCTGCATTTCACAGCTGTGCAGACTGAGAATGGCACCCTCGTGATGCCATTCTAAGGGAAGGTAAGATGTGGGTGAGGCCGGAGTGTGTACCAGAGCAGAGCAGAAGGCATGGGTGCAGGACGGGTGAACGGTGGCTTGGAGGCCTGTAGGAGACCAGAAGACCTGGCACAGAGGACCTGCATCTAAGGGTCTTTGGGACTGGGCTCAGCAAGACTCCTCTACTGGCAGGATTAGTGAGATTCCAGAATGAAAGAGGTCTGGCCCTGCTGGCAGGGAGTGAGAATGGGAGGGCGATAGGTCTGTGGGCATAGTATATGACACACAGATGCCAAATCTTGGGAGGTGGTGGGACTGGAGGACCCGCCAAACTGGAGTCAATCTTTCTGGCCACTGTTGGTGACCCCTGCCTAGAATCCCTGGCCGGGATGCACAAAGACTCATATCCAGATAGCTAAGTCCTATTTGGGGCCACCCCATGCAGTCCACCCTGCCTAGATCTCCTGGGCTGACCCCACACCTCTTGCTGCCAAGGAGATAACAGGTATCACAGAAAGTGGGCCTCAGGCTACATATCTACCCTCTGGCCTCTCAAAGAGACATGGGTCAAAGCCAAGTCCCTGCAGCTCTGTGACAACACACACTGATGTGCTAAGATGAAACAGGCATCAGACTGTTACCATGCACATGTTTGACAAGTTTTTATCAGGAAGCCTCTCTGGACTGTGCCGTTAAACCCTTCTGAACCATGACCTGGAGGCTGGGAG